CCACAGGGTAACGGGCACGCGTGGGGAAAAGGGCGATCACCCACGTACGCAGACGGAAGGCAGTTGTCAAAACACCCGACGAATGATTCTCGAATGGCCTTCAGCACATCCCGCCACCGTGCTTGGGTTGCAGGTCTGAAGCCACTCGGATGGCTGATGGGGTCTCGTGGGAGGCGTCCCGGGGGCGTCTCGGATACAGTTCTTGAACTTTTTGGAGGCCTCTTGGGGGTTTGTTGCGGGGTTGGATGACTCGAAATGTCCTTTCGGGTTGCCCCTCTGGGCCTCCTGGTGGGGCTGTCTTGGGGTTCTCCTGGGCCGTCTTGGGGATTCCTTGGGACGTTTTGGAACCCTCTTGGGGGTTTCTTGGCCCGTCTTGGTGCGTTCTTCACGGCCTCTCGGGCCGTCTGGGACGTTGTGAACGCTCAAGAGGCGAAGGTGTTGCATTTGTACGCTTTCTGAAGGGAATCGGACGGTTGTTGTTTCCTGCGGCCCTCTTTGGGCGCCTCTTGGAAGCTTCTTGGGGCGTCTTGAGGGTTTCTTGGATTTTGGGGGGGCCAGCGTGGGCGTTTTCGAACAAGTTTTTGGCGAATCGTGGTCCTCGTAGACCGCCCCAAGGACCTCTTGGGGCTCTCTTGACCTATTTCGGGGCCTTCTGACCCCCCAGGCACGTTCACCCACATCCTGGGGGAACCCCGCCTTCACCCCCCTTTTTTTCCCAATCGACCGGACAGGGTACCGGGGGAGGGGTTTGGGAAGGGAGAGACATCTCACACGTCGATGAACCCCAAAAGGTCGGCGGACGATGCTGTTTCTTAATTGTCTTGACTTCTCGTGCTGTGGGGAAGGTAGCAGTCGTTTCCCCTCTTATATCTTTACCGCAATTTACAATCGGACTGGGCGTGACGTTCGGTCACACCCCTTTTGATTCTGAAGGTGTTCAAAAGGGGAGATTGTATAGCGAACGTCGTGGTCCATGTCCAGCGCTGTCCTAGGTTCAAGGTAGCGTTGCCCAATGTGATTGCTTCGCGCCTGCGAGGTGCCGATGAACCTGAGCGTCGGAGAGAGGCCACATCCACCGATGGTCATCTCTTTATCCTAGGCCTTATCTCTCATCTTTCGTCTTGCTTGCCATCAAGGAGAAGCTATGGGATGCCGTGATGCGTCGACTGCGTCAGCCCAAGAAGTGGAGTTTCATTTTGTTACTTCATGGAACACCGGACCCTCGCTTTTCATTGAACCGTTTGGGACTTCTAAGGGGTCTCTCGGGGGCCTCCGAGGGGCAGATTGGCGGTCTCTTGGGGCCTCCTGGACGCCCCTCTTGGGCCGATCTTGGGAGCCTCGGTGGCAGTTTTGGAAGAGATTGAGTAAAAGGGGGGGTGTCCTCAATTAGGGCTCCCCCCAGGAGGCCAAAATGAGCGTCGAGGCTTTTTGGTGCGTCTTGAGTGCATCTGGGGTCCTGTTGGGGCCTCTTGGGGGTCTCTTGGGGGTTTATTGGGCATTTGGGGGGCTTCTGGGTGGCCTTTTTGGGGTCTCCTGGGCTTTTATTTGGGCTGCCTTGGCAGCCTCGGGGGCCACCTTGGGGCACTCTTGAGGGACATCGATCAACAAAACGGGAAAAGGTTCCAATTATCGACCCCCCCCCTCAGGAGGCCGTCGCGCTGGCAAGCCCTGCGTAACGTCACGGATTTGCGTTTCCTCGCTTATGCCAGCATTCGACATTTTAGAATCTCGCACCCCCCCGCCCAGATGCAGGGGTAGGGAACTGGAGGGGGTGCGAACCCTTCCCCGGATGGGAAGAGGGATGATGTAAGAAGAAACGCCCGAAACCATTCACCAATCCCTTCGCCCAATCCGCTGGTCCACGCTGTCCGATCGCTGACGTGTCGTCGTGGGCGCGTTGCCCATGCGGCGCCTCTGCGTGGCGGTGTTAGCCCGACGCGTTGCGTCATCAATCTCAGAGGTGATTCAGCTTCTCTGGAGTTCGTCGCAGGAGTCCTGGTGGGTGTCCTGGTGTGGCTCGGGAGCTGCACAGGAGGCTCGAACGCGTTGCGACTCTCGTCGATCTACCTGCGACCGTCCGCCCACCCCTCACCTCGTTTGGGGTGTGGGTTTTAAAAAAGAAGGTTTTTTTGGATGCATACCAGGATGTCTTGGGATGCCTCTCGGGGACCCTCTTCGTCTCTCCTGCAGGCTCCGTGGAGAGCTGCCGGGGCGCTCTTTAGGACGTTGACGGCCGCGCCCAGGACGAGAACCATCTCTGAACCGAGGCTCCTTGGAGTCAACCAGGAGTGTCAGGGGTACTTTTCGTGCGGGGCCCCCAGGGGCCGCCACGCACGTGCGAAGTAAATCATAGAAATCGTGTGATGAATCTTGTGCAAGATATTCTAGCACGCCTTCGGGTCGCTGTGCCGCCACATTGAATCTATTCGGTGCAATTCGTGTTTGAAGAGCCTGGGGTCGCCAGCTTCAAGGTCCGAGCAAACGTCTCCGCACCTTCTGGACAACGCAAAACTGGCGTAGTGGCGCGAGAACGATTCTCATGCAGGTTCATGACTCGGGCGGGCGAGGAACGATGGTTACGCCGACATCGGCGACGACCACGAAGGTGATGGTGACGGTAGGAGCGACGAGCACGAGAGCGACGACAACGACGATTGCGATGTGGATGGTGATGACGACGGTTGTGAGGATGTCGGTGAGTTGATGGTGATGGTGATGAAAATAACGGTCTTGACGATGACGGTGGCAATGATGGTGTTGACGATGATGATAACGATGATCATGTTGTTGTTGACGGTCCGATGGTGATGGTGACGTTGATGTTGATGCGGCTGTTGTTGTTGATGGTGATGGCGATGATAATGAGAATGATATTGAGGATGATGATGATGATGATGATGCTGAAGCTGATGCTGATGATGATGAGAATGACGATGATGGCGACGGTGATGTCGGTAATGAAGATAATGATGATGACGCGTCGGCGCAGAACTTGACAGACGTGTCCTTGCAGCAAAAGTTGTTTGCTCATATGTGTCGAATACATCTACCTTGAAATGCTTGGAACACCAATGGCTCATCAACGGTTTCACCATGCGCGACCAGGGGTGCTCGCGTGTGGTGGTGTAAATGTATAATTTTGCAGTTCTGACATGCGCGCGATGTTTCTTGAATGATGTCGACATGCGCGCGCACGTGGCCCGCATAGTTTCTTTTCGTTCAATGGCGAACAAGACAAATGTATGTCTGGGGGTTTCGTCAGTCGCGCAGACGTCTTGACTTCCGAGTGGCACACGATGTTCTCACGTGTTTCAGACGTGCGGGGAGCACCCCAAGTTGAAATCGTGACTGCCATGGATGAGGGGCGGGGTTCGGTAAGGGGCTCATCGGGGATTGTATGAGGTTGCGTTTGGGATGGACGAGCGTGCGTTCTCAGCAATCTGCGAAGGTGTACGGTCTAGCGCGATCTCGGCATGGGGGTAAAGTCTGCTCTTCTTTTTCCAATTACTCTGAACACATTGATGTTGGCCACTGCAATGGCCGAGCAAATTTCCCACCCACCTACGCATAACTTGCTTGCAGCAGTCAAGAAGCCATGAACGCGTGCTTTCCGGCCACAGTTACTCGCTGGGAAGTTTATGACCTCCTTTTTGGAGGGGTTGTACGCGTTGTGTTGGGTTGTCTGGGACTTGTCTGGATTCGTAATTTGCATACGGCATAGTATTAAGGGAGGGTAAACCACCCCGGCTTTCATGACTGGCGATTCCTAAACAGTGTTTGGCGTTTATTCAGCAGACAGCCATGTCATCACCGAATTTTTCCTCAGGTGCGTTCGTTGGCGTGGACATGCAGGATTCGGTATACACACGGCCCGAGCGTCGCAGCAGAAACAGCCATTTGGAGAAGGGGATCGCCAGGATCATCCAAATCAACGTGTTTTGGAGGCGTCGGATCGGTACGGTCGAAATTGGTACAGAAATAATGGGGACGAAGACGGGCAAAAGTACTTGCTCATTCTGAGCAGGATTCGTTTTCGATGTCGCCACGGACCTTGTACACGTGAGACATGAAATTCCGCGCGATTCCAATAAGGGGAAAGTTTCCTATTGCACGGGCGCAGTGCTTGGCATTGCTTGGCATTGCTTGGCATTGCTTGGCAGCGCTTGGCAGCGCTTGGCAGTGCTTGGCAGTGCTTGGCATTGCTTCGCATTGCTTCGCATTGCTTGGCGTTGCTTGGCATTGCTTCGAATTGCTTGTCCTTGGCACTGCTTGGCACTGCTTGGCATTGCTTGGCATTGCCTGGCATTGCTTGGCATTGCTTGGCATTGCTTGGACAGGGCTCAGTAAGAATACGAGGCACTGGGGGCGGGGAACCCAGGGATCCCGGGGAATGCGAAGAGCCCGAGGAACCCAGGGAACCAGAGGAACCCGAAGAACACGGGGAACCTGGGGAGCCCTGGGAACCCGAGGTACCCCAGGAACCCGAAGAACCTCCGGGAAACGGGCAACGGAGGCACCGGGGGCGGGGAACCCGAGGAACCCAAGGAATATCCAAGGAACGGGCAACATTGGAGGAAAAGTCACCCGCCCAATTGCGACAGTGGCTGCTGTTGGACGACATTTGTTGTTGGGCATCGTACCTATTTTTTTCTGTGCCCATTTCGGGCGCGCCACTTGCGATTCGAAATCCCGTCCAGCATCGACATTTGTTGTTGGGCATCGTACCTATTTTTTTCTGTGCCCATTTCGGGCGCGCCACTTGCGATTCGAAATCCCGTCCAGCATCGAGTCGGGGGGGACAGAGGAGCTTGCCCTTTCTCCCCCGGCCGCAAGTCAACAGATACGTGATGATCTGGCCGCTCGGCGTCCGACCCACACAAACGAAGCTGCCTCGAGAAGGAATGTGCCCACGACGCCGAGAGATGCCAAAAACGTGTTCCCGAGATGACTCGTCGAGAGATCGGAGTTGATCGGATTCTTTGTGAGCATTGTCGAGCGAGGAACAGATAATTGATTACCTCGACGACATGAAGATCTACTTCTTGAACGCCCGCACGAAGAGCGGCTTCGTCATCGCCGCGTGCGAGAAAGCCAAGCGCGCCCCCGCAGTAGGGTGAGACAGGAGGAGCCGAATCATAAAGGACGGGGAGTTGGAGGAGGAGGAGGAGGAGGACGTGCCGTCGGACGAATGGACAGGTCGGACCTGCACGATCGAGGGCACTTTTGTGTAATCCATGGCATTGAACACCATGTGTCCCCTGGCTCTGTGTGCACCACGCCGTTCTCGCAAGAGCCTTCGTCTTCTCGGATATCATATGTTTTCGGTCGCGGCTGATGGAGACTGGGGTGGCAAGGACGGGCGAAGAGGAACCATTGATTCAGGCGGTTTGAAAGGAAGAAACGGACCGAGGAGAGAAGCAGAGGGAAAAGGGTATAGAATTGGGAGGAGTGTCGCTGGAGAGAGGGACGGAAGAGAGGCAGGGAGGCTGACAGGATGGAGCGAGAGACATAATGAAGAGACGGACGTGCGGAGGGGGAGGATTAATTGAGAGAATAATGGTAAGGGGTTCAAGCAGGGAGGACCGATGGCGCCCACCGCTTTGCGCCCTCTCGCCGGTGGAGACTCCGCCCTTGTTCCCATTCCAGTTTCCCCTCGCTCAAGCCGTGCCCCTTTCTCCCCGCTTCGAGTGTGGCCTCCAGGGGCAGGCGCCCACGCCTAGGGCCCAGGGAGGGCGAGGATGAGGGCAGAACGCTTGCTGACGGGATCGACCCATGCATCGCCACGATCCACTACCGCGTCTTCGACGAGCCTCCGGATTTTACTTTCTCCAACATGGCGGACATCATGATAACCGATGGCACAAAGGACCACGCCGCTCAAAACGCCGAGTGCGCATTTCAACTAGACAAGCGCTGACGGGCAGACATCGCACCAGGCGCGGTTCCCGAGTTCCAGAAAGAGAACCAACCGAGAATCCGATGCGGGCAACACATCCGAGAATGAGTTTGACGACTCGACTAGCATACTTCCCGCGGACACCCGACTGGGCCCGCGATTCTTTCAACCTGCTGCGCGAAGGCTTGGGCACTCCGCAACGAAGAATCGCGTCAGACACCACAGGCAGACAGCACACCCACGCAGCACCAACACGCCAAGAGGATGGCTGACAACGCTCTACAGCCACCATTGCAAGACCGGGCATCTGGGCGCGACCCACCACATGTGGAATAGGAACAGCCCTGAGAATAGCAACGACGCGATCTACAGCTCCTCTGGCAGGAACGGCGCTGCCGCCAACATCGAGAACATGGGGCGGCACTACTCAGGAATACCGACTCAGGTACCACACTACCGAACCGCCGCGTGGACCAGAACACAACACGACTGCAACGTATTCGACGCGGAGCGACGGGCATTAATCGCGGCATTATCGTGGCCACGGGCAAATATCTAGCCGAGACCGACATGATCCGCCTCGCTCCACAGCACTTGGGACCCAACGGGGCAAGTTTGACCCACCCCGGTCAGGCCCACAAGGTTCTCACCGCCCAGGTTGACAGGCACGCAGACCTACAAGAAGCAGATAAGCAGTGCATTCGAAGAACCGTGTCGTTCGACTCGTGTTACCCGTGACGGGTTCAAACAGCAACCCTCAGGAACCGAGCGAAGCTTTTCCGCTCCTCTTTTCCTTCACGGGCACTAGCAATCAAAGAGCCAAGAACGATTCGCCCGCGCAGCGCCAGTCTCATCTTCGAGCAGAAGAACTTCCAACTCGCACCGCAGCCTCGAGCAGGCCTCCGCGCAGCCAAGGAATACCCCAACCGCGACGTCGCCCCATTTACCTGCGGCCACCAACCGCTTCAGCGACGTCGAGGTTCGATGCGGCTTCCAATTGGGGCCGCCGACCAACGGCAAATCTCAGCGCCCACACATAGCCGGCACGAGCTGGCACCCGCCGGCCGACGTCGCATGCAATATCGCATCGAGGGGCGCCGCGCCGCGACCACCACGGCGCCGCCGCGCGAGGCCACTGCCGTCGCGCGGCCGCCCCCGACCAGAGCCAGCCGCCCGGGCACGGCCGGCCGACGTTCGCGCCTGCGGCTGCGTGGACGCAGCGGTGGGCGACGCCCACATCTTGATATCCCACATCAGGAGCGACGCCCGCCCTGGGGGTGTCAAGGCGCTCGCCGAGACGAGGAACCGCTCCTGCAGCGGCTTCCACGATGATTGCGAGAGGAAGTTGGATCTATAAGGCTTCGCCAGGCGCGCGCTCGTGAGCGGCGCCTTCCCCCGCCTGCGCCCTTCGCATCGCGCGCGGAGAGGGCGTTCGCAGCCCCCGCGGGGCACCGCCCGCGCCCTCAGAACCACGAGCCGAGTCTTGGCCGCGAGCCCCACCGACGGCGCCCGCGCCCACAGCGAACCGCCTCCGCCGAACTGCCCGCCCCCACCAGCTCACCCCCCAAACTGCCAGACGTGGGGCGAGCGCGCGCTAGCGCGAGCACTGGGGCAAGCAAACCCCCCGCGCGGCCTGCCACCCGCCCCCCGTCGCGAGCAGCCGACGCCGCAATCGCGCGTCGCACTCGCAGCCGCAGCCCGGCGACGTGGACCGCGCGGGCTTGCTTCTACAATGACGCCCGCGAATCGGAACGGGACGACCTTGGCGGCGCCGTTTTGCGATGCAAGTGGACGCGATTACTTTCCCCCATCAGCGAGGAATGCTTCCCGGGCGCCAACCGCGACCCGATAACATCCACCAGTGGCAGAAAGCGGCATCCAAGTCCTCGAACCCACCCTCTCGGGCCTTTGGTGGAGCCCCCCGTGGATTCGCCAGGCGCGCGGGGGGGCGGCGGCGCCGCGCGCCCCCCCCCTCCCCCCCCCCCGCAGGCGCCGCGCGGGCGCGCCCGCCCCGGCGGCGTCCAAGGGCGCAGCGACGGCCGTGATTTCGAGAATCGGCGACGGCCAGATGCGCGGCGCCCGGAAGACGGCGGGCGGCGCGCTCTACCAGTCCAGCGACCGGCAGACCGTGCCCCCGGCAATCAGCTCCACGCGCGCGGAGAACCCGACCACGCATGATCGTAGAGCGGCGGGTGACTTGCCCCCAGACAACGACCGAGCCAGCGACCAAGCCGAAGGCGCAATGGCATCGCCCACATCCGCGGCCCAGTCCGACATCGACGCCGCGGCAGCGCCGAGCGACGGCTCGCATCGCGAAGCGCCGCCGATACTAATCGCACCACTCAAGGCGCCGCCGCGCGGGGCGACGCCCCCGCCAGCTGCTGCAGCCACGGCGGGGCGCCGCGGTCTAGCGGACGGCAGAAACACGGGTTCCGATGAAATTGCTTTGCGAGCCGTAGTTTGTCAATGCTGCCGCTAGGGCGCCGACCGCGCCGCGCGCGGAGACAGCGCGCGAGCAGGCCGCCGCGCCCGTCGCGCGACCGCGCGTCGAAGTGACATCAGGGTCGTTAGGCGAAGAGCACCAGCGGGGTGCCATCGCGCGCCTGACCAACGCCGTCAACGGCAGGCGCTACGCGGAGAACGCCCATCGCATCAAGATCCACGTCCGCGGGATGATCTCAGGGGCCATCCGCGGCATCGGCGGCCCCGAGGCCCCCGGTGACCTGGCCGGGGGCCCAGGCGCGAATATGACGCCCTGATGGCCAGCGTCGCGTCCTTCCACAGCGAGTGCTTCCGACGCGACGCGCCCCCGGCGGCCCGACTCTTCGCGATGGCGCTCAAGCGGGCCGCCCGTGTTCGCTGCTTCGACCGCCAGCTTGCCGCGAAGATCGCCCGCGCGATTGCCGACGACTGCGCCGACCTGCCGATGCTAGCTGAAGTCGCCCGCCAGCGCCGCGACCTCGCGCGCGCCGCGCTGCCGCCGAGCAGATCGACGAGTTGATCGAGGCCCCGGGGGCCGCCCCATCCGCCAGGGCCGCGCAGCTTGCGACCCGCGGCGTGGGCGACAACCGGGGGCCGCTCAGCGACGGACATTCGCCGCGCGCGCGGACAACCGACTACAATGCCACAGATCGACATTCTCACCGCGCCCGCGCACGCAGGCTTACTGTCCGCAGCGCCCGCCCCGCAAGAGCGGAAGGCAATGCAAATCGCCGACCCCGTCAGCAGGTTTGACCGCGTCGCCGCGGAATTCGGCCGGTTCTCGCCGCGACGCCCGATGGCGGAAACGCGGCGCCTACCCGCAGGGTGCTCGCCGATGCAAGCGCCTCGACACAAATGGCGCCGACGGCGCAGGCCACTTACTGCCGACGACAGAGAAGACGCGGCCTACCTCGGGGAAGAAGGGCTGGACGGCGCCACGACCCAGTCCGCGGGCGAGGCCAGCGCCGCGGACGCAGCCATCCCGCGCGGGGCAGAGCCACACAGGAACCGCAGCCATCATTCGCGATCGTGCCCCAGCTCGACTAGTTGACCAGCCTGGCGCATCAGGAGACGCGCCCCCTGATCGCCCACAACCAGCGAGGCAGCGAAGCAGCGAGGCATGGGCCTCGCGATGAGACCGGCCGAGCGGCTGCCCATCTGTTTGCGATCCGCCCCTGGGCAAAAGTTTCTCACCCACGTCCCCGCGCGGTCGCCCTGTTCCTTCACTCCTGCCTTTGCTGCGCCAAGCGCGCCGACCCTGGCGATCGCCGGAGAGCGGCCGCCACGTGTTTCCTGCAGTCTGCTGCAGCATGCGCCTGACCCACTTTTTCCACCCCTGCATCGCAGTCGACCCGCATCGTAAGAATGCGCGCCGCTCCCAAGGGTAGCCTTGCATCTTTGCCTCCTCGGCCCATCCATGGCCACTTTCGTTGGCCGCGCCCTGTTCGGAAAAGCTTCGGCACGGCCTTCTCAAGCCCATGCGCCATTGCCGCGCATCCTCATGATGCGGGCTGACTGCGCCGCCACATTTGCCGCCTGCCACCTCAATGCTGGCCGCTACTCGCGGCGCTTGCAATCGATGGAAAGGGGGCGCGCCGTGGAAGAAGGGGCAGCGGGACCAACCTGGCCACCGCCGCGGAAGGCGCAAACCTGCCCCACGCTCGGGGGGCCCACCACGGGCGGCCGCCAATCCTTCGCTCGGGGATTTTACGGCTGTTTGCAGGCGAAGGCCCCCGTCGTAGGAGTGGTGGAAAGCCTTTGTGCTTTCCACCTTGGCGAGTGTGGCCAATAGCCGCAGTGTCTTGCCACAGCTTCGCCGCTTGGCGTGCGTGGCCTGGCCGCGCGCCTTGCCGCGCTGCCACCGCCCGCCGCCGCACTGATCGCCGACGTGCCGTAATTACCTCCCCTGTATTATTCTCTCTCTTTCGACGAATATAGACGAACATATGTTTATAACACCTTTTGTGGGTTTATATGTGTATTTCTCTCTTTCTCTCTCCCTCTCTCTGTGATGTCTGCCACGATCGCTCACGCCATAACAATAACGTACCCCTCAGCTGGCGATGCTCGGAGCGAACGCTCCAGGAACCCCCTGGGTCCCTGTTTGATCAACCCCACAGGGCCGACCAACCTTCGAGTGGGGGAGGGCGGCATCTGACGGATCCGTGCGATTCAACTCGCCAGGAGGAGGGAGGGAAACAGGGAAAAAGGGGAGTGGGAGGAGGAGAAGAAAACGACGAGGAAATGGGAGGGAAGACGAGGAAGAAAACCTGCTTGCGTCGGCGGCTAGGAGGAGTAATTGCGCCAGCGGAGCGAGGCAGATAAAGAGCAAACAAAACAGATGATGTGGGAGGGCAGACGTCAAGCGACGACGACGACGGCGATGGCGATTGCGATGGCGGCAGCGACAGCGGCGGCAGCGGCGGTTCAGGCAGGGCCAGCTCAACTGGCGCGGGCTGGGCGCCCCGGACCCCTGGCGGCCCTGGCTGCAGGCGCCCGCTGGGCGGCGCCAAGGGTGTGTGGGCGGGGGGACACGCGCGGAGGTTCCAGCAAGCCAGGTCGAGCATGATCGCCGAGGCGTGAGAGGAGGGATCGTAAAACGTCATGGGGGAACAGCAGGAGCAGGAAAGGGCGGAAGAGGCGGAGGAGGAGGAGGGGGAGGAAACATAGAATGATAGGAGAGGAGGAGGAGGAGGAGGAGGAGGAGGAGGAGGAGGAGGAGGAGGAGGAGGAGGAGGAGGAGGAGGAGGAGGAGGAGGAGGAGGAGGAGGAGGAGGACCACCACTGACGACCACCACAACCAGCAGGCTGACCACCAACATCACCACCAGCACGACCACCACGAGCACCAGCATCACCAGCAGACTGACCGCCGGCACGACCACCACGACCACCACCAGCACGAGTGACCTCCAGCACCACAACTACCAGCCACCACGCCCACCACCAATACGACCACCGCGACCACCACCAGCGCGACCACGACGACCACGACGACCACCTGAAGACCACAGCGACCACCCCGACGCCCGCCGCCGCCCCCCGTCCCCCTCTCCCTTCCCCCTCCCTCCCCTTCCCCTGCCGGGCCGCTCCTGCTGCTGCGTTTTTTGCGCGGCTGTCCCCTCCTTCCTCCTCCTCCTCCTCCTGCTGCTGCTTTCCTCTCCCCTTTCTCCCGGTTGTATGACCTCGTGCGCAGGCCGGTCTCCAGAAGAGGGCCGGCCATTGTGAACAGGTGCAAGATTGTGGGGATTATTGTTCAGGGCAGCCCCCTGAGAGCTGGCGGGGGCGCCAGACCCGCGGCCAGCGCGGGGGAGGAGGAGGAGGAGGAGGAGGAGGAGGAGGAGGAGGAGGAGGAGGAGGAGGAGGAGGAGGAGGAGGAGGAGGAGGAGGAAACGGACGAGAAGGAAGAGGAGGAGGACGAGGAGGAGGAGGAAAACAGGAACATTATATGAGCATGCGGAGGAGGAGGAGGAGGAGGAGGAGGAGGAGGAGGAGGAGGAGGAGGAGGAGGAGGAGGACAAGGGAGGAAAACGAGGAGGACGGGGAGGAGGAAGGGAGGAGGAGGATCAGGAGGAGGAGGATCAGGATCGGGAGGAGGAGTAGGAGGAGGCCCTGTTGGAGCCTCTTGGGCCGTCTTGGAGGCCTCTTGGGGACTTCTTGGGTCGTCTTGGGCCATTTTCGAGCCATCTTGGGGCCGTCTTGGTGGGCTCCTGGCCCGTCAGGCGGCGTCGGAAGCTGTCTTGGGGGCCTTTTTGGGCCGACGGGGGGCCCTCTTGGGATGCTCCAGGGCCGTTTTGGGAGGCCATCTTGGGCATCTTGGAGGCCTCTTGGGCTGTCTCGGGGCCGTTGGGCCTCTTGGGCCGCTCTGGGGCCGTTTGGGAGGCCTCTTGGGCGATCTTGGGGCGATCCTTGGGGCTCTTGGGCCGTCTCGGGCCGTCGGAAAGCGGAACAAAAATGGAATACCAACATCTTTCGAACATTTTTCGGAAAATCCATCATTTGTGCCTTTTCGGGCTTCCCTGGAGGACCTCCTAGAGGCCTCTTGGGCCTTCTTGGAGGCCTCTTGTCGGCCACTGAGGCCGTCTTGTCATTTCTTGAGGCCCGCTATGGCCGTCTGGGGTGCATATTGGGCCGTCTTGGAGGCATTCTGGAGCCATCTTAGCTGTCTTGGAGACCATCTTGACCGTCTGGGAGGCATCTTGGCCGTCTTGAAGGCGACTGGGGCAACCACCCTGGCATTTTGAGCACCCTTCCGGCTCCTTCCGGGTGGCCGGTGGGACGGGCCGAAGCCCCAGGGGAAAGTTTTTGTTCCCGGAACCTTTGGTTTTGTTTTGGGGAGGCCGGCGGATTCTTTCTGCTATAAATGACGAAGTTTGAAGAGGGCCGGCGGAATTATTTCTGAGGACGTCTCGAGCGAAACACGGGTTTTTGAGCGTCCGTTCGATAAATTATTTAGGTCAAATGACAGTTTTCGCTTGTTGCGGATATCTCGAGCGAATCGCTCGTTTTGTAGAAAGTGAGAGGATGTCTCGAGCGAGACGCTGGATTTTGTAGACTTCCAGGAACCTGAACGTCCGAGGATGCCCCAACAAGGGGTTTTGGGAGTGCGGGCGCAGCGAATTTACAACGGATCGTGGCTGTGGGAGTGTAATTTGCAAGGGATCGCGGCCCTGGGAGCGCGGACGCAGCGTAATTTACGAGGGATCGTGACCCTGGGAGCGTGAATCCCGCGTGGTTTACAAGGGATCGTCGCTTTTCCACATATTGAGGCTTCAGGAGCCCAAAAATGATGACAGCTGCAGGATTCCGATGGCCCGCCTCGGATTAAAAACATGAGCTGCGGGCTCCACGGGGAGGGGGCTCCTGCTTGAGACGTTTTTTTTTTTCCCGCAATTCCCTGACAGATGAGGCTCCCGCCGGATATTTCCTCCAGATTCATCAGGCCGCAGGGGCCCAAAAGTGACGACAGTTGCAGGACTCCGATGACCCGCCGATGATCCGTGACGACTCCGATTGTTGAAGATCATGATGATGAGGGTGAGGACGGTGATGCTGATGATGGTGATGATGCTGATGATGCTGATGATGATGATGATGATGATGATGATGATGATGATGAGCGTGTGTGAGTGAGTGCATGGGCGGGTAGGTGGGTGAGTGAGTGCGTGAGCACGTGATGATTATGACGGTGCGACTGGGTGCGTGAGTGGGTGAGTGAGTGGGCAAGTGAGTGAGTGATGTGTGTGTGAGTGAGTGCGCGAATGGGTGGGTGGGTGGGTGAGTGAATGAATGTGAGTGATGATGTGTGTGAGTAAATGAGTGACTGAATGAGCGATGGAAGAAGAAAGGGTGAGGGTGTGTTCTCTTTCTTGTTCCTGCGCGGGGTATGGGGAAGAAAACAAGAACCCCAGTTTGGATGTGGAGAAAAACGCATGCCACTTCCAACATCAAATCTGTCACCGCTAAGAGATCATTTCTGTTCCCAGGCCAACGTGTGCAAGTTTCTGTTTTGGGACACATCCGAAAAACGCGTGTGAACTCTGAGAATATAATCGTTTATTTCGAAGGCCAACATGGCGATTCTTTCATTGGGCAATTAAGATATCGCCACGCGCGCGCTCGCGCGAACGCGCGCGTGGCGAGTTATGTTTTGTCTGCAATGGTCAACTCTCCATTTTGGCTTGGAAACTGAAGTGCGCCTTAACGCTGGCCAGCGGGATTTCGGGTGACACGCCCGCACGTGTGTCACACGATCGCGCGCGCGTGCGGGCGCGCACGTTGCGAAATGTGCCATGTTCGTCTGGAGTCTTGAAGTGAATCTTTGACGGTGACCGATTGGGTTATTGAGTTCACTTTTTTTTGACGTGATCGACGGAATACATTTGATTTCTTTTAGATTATCCTATGGATGTCATATGGATGCCGATGCATTTCAGAACGAAACATATGGATTGATAACGGAGTCGCATGGAATTCCGATGGCAACCCATTTAGTTTCAAAGGTTTTCCATTTTGCGTTTTCAGCACTATTGTGGACGTTTTCAGGAATCCTATGGCTGTCGTAAAGGATTAGATAGATGTCCGAAAGATTTTTTTGACTCCCGAAGGAACCTTAGGAATGTCCATCGGGTTCCTATAGATTTGTTCAGGGCTCGCACGGATTTCCTAGGGAATGTGATGGTTGTCCAAAGGCTTCCTATGGATGTCTGAAGGAACCCGATGGATGTCCGAAGGAATCCGATGGTCTCCCATCCAGATTTGCTGGGTTTGCTAAGGAATCCCGCGGATTTCCACCTGATCCACACGAGTTCCTTAGGAACCATAGACATCATTTTTTTTCGAAGTCCCATGTATGTCTTAAGGTATCCGATGGATGTCCAGAGGGATCCATCGGATGTCATCGCGACCCCGATGGATTCCGCGATGCATCCGATGGACTCCTTTCGGAATCCGAAAGATTCCCTGAGGGCCCCGACGCGCGTTTGAAGAAATCCGAAGGATGTCCCACGGGGTCCAATGGAATCCCTAGTGGTTACTACAGATGCATTAAAGAATGTCATGGATGTCCTAAGGGGATCCACGTTGGATTGCTCGGGTAATACTTTGGACTTCCTCCGGAGTTCTTTGGGCGATTTCTACACGTTGCCTTTCGAACCAGATGGGTGTCCTCAAGGCTCCAGTGGATTCCCTATGGAATCCCATGGATGTCCGGAGGAACCCGATGGATGTCCCGAGGAACCTGATGGGCGCCCAACGGAGTCCGATGGGTGCCCGCCATTGGTTTGTCAAGTTGCCAGCAGGAATCCCATGGCCGCCCGAAAGAAATCTGTTAATTCCCAGATGAGTCCGATGAATAGTCTGAGGAATCCCATGGATTGCCTAAGGGCTCCGATGGATTTCCGTCGGAATCTCATGGGATTCTAAAGTCATAGATGGGCGCTCTGAGGAATCCAACGGCTTCCCAGGGTTCCTTATGCATGGCATGAGAAATTCTATAGAATTCTCAACGGTGCTTCTCTTCCTCGCCCATGCGCACCCAGCCCGAACTTTTCACCGCCGTTCTTGCGCACCGCCGCCAATGGGCCGCCATGCCGCACATGCGCCGGCGAAAACGCTGAAACAGATTCGAGTATTGCATATCAGAATTTTCGGGCCCCGAGGCGAATCTTGCGCTGGGAAAGTTCCCCCCCTCCTCATCGTCGTCGCCGTCGCCCTTCTCCTATGGACTTCCGTTAGACTCGCGCAGGTTGTCGCGAGAATCCGATGGGTTTTTTAAGGGACCCCGAGGATGCCCAAAGAAAAACGATGGTTTGCTTAAGGGCGCGTATGGATGCACTCGAGAGTCCCATGGCGTTTCCTTAGGATTCCGATGGCTTTTAATTTCCGGATCTTTTGGTTTGCCTTGGGGCCCCCATCGCTGTCCTACGGGGCCCCATGGTTCTCGAACAGAAACACATGGACGTCTAAAAGAGTCCGATGGATGTCCTAAGGG